AGCAACAACAGAACAACGTCAGAGCAACAACAGAACAACAACAGAACAACATCAGAACAACATCAGAACAACAACAGAACAACAACAGAACAACATCAGAGCAACAACAGAACAACATCAGAACAACAACAGAACAACATCAGAACAACAACAGAACAACATCAGAACAACAACAGAACAACGTCAGAACAACAACAGAACAACAACAGAACAACGTCAGAACAACATCAGAACAACAACAGAACAACATCAGAGCAACAACAGAACAACAACAGAACAACATCAGAACAACATCAGAACAACAACAGAACAACGTCAGAACAACATCAGAACAACAACAGAACAACAACAGAACAACAACAGAACAACGTCAGAACAACATCAGAACAACAACAGAACAACATCAGAACAACAACAGAACAACATCAGAACAACAACAGAACAACGTCAGAACAACATCAGAACAACAACAGAACAACATCAGAACAACAACAGAACAACGTCAGAACAACAACAGAACAACAACAGAACAACGTCAGAACAACATCAGAACAACAACAGAACAACATCAGAACAACATCAAAACAACAACAGAACAACAACAGAACAACATCAGATGGAGGTGGAACTGCTTTATTCAGTGTGTTTAAGGTGGAACTGCTTTATTCAGTGTGTTTAAGGTGGAACTGCTTTATTCAGTGTGTTTAAGGTGGAACTGCTTTATTCAGTGTGTTTAAGGTGGAACTGCTTTATTCAGTGTGTTTAGTGGTTTTAATCAGCGGGTCTGTTTGTGTTGGAGAGGAGGAGACCTCTGTGGATCATTGGGCTCCCGGTAGAAACCTCCTGAACCATGAACACTGAAGGAATCCTAACCGGGAGAAGCTGACTGCAATGACGCCAATGGTGGTGAAGACAACAACTCCCATGATCCCACGCTGCTTCATCATGTCACCTGTTCCCCTCCATATTCCTGATTCTGGTTGATGTCAAATTAAATTCAGAGGAAAGAAAGACAGAGCTTCAAAGGCTTTATTTAAATATCTACATGAAACCGGTTTAATTTACAGAATATAATTCCATTATAAAGTCATGATGTGGCACCTTTAATGTTAAAGTTAATAAGCAAGTAAACAGTAAGTGCTATTCCCAAACATTAAAGTAAACTGTCCAAATACAGTTGTTATCAGTGTAAACAGCAATAATTACTGTAATTTCACACATAATGACTTTTATTACAGTTCTATAACTTTTAACATTCACATTAAAATAAATGTAAGCCTGATTATTTATATTATAGTTCACCTGGATTTATAGCTCATTTAATTGTTTTTACAGTGTAAATATGTTAAATTAAAACATTTTAACTAAAGATAAAAACTGTATTGTAATATATAATATTTTAATATATGTTATTTTAATGTAGGTGGCGCTATCCACCTCCAGAGTAACTGATTACATCCCGCCATAAAATGGAAAGAAGAAGAAGAACTACGTCCCTGGACGGAGCTCGCAGCACTGCTACGGAAGTTAGCTCCGGGTGCTAGCTGTAAATAATAATTATTCTGTGTTTGCCACAGACAGACTCACTGACGGTCTGTAGTTAATGATTATATCTGTGGAGCCTGTTGTCTGATAATGTGCAGCTGTTATTTATATGAATTAGAATATTTTATGGAACATTTTTAGTATTTAATCTATGAGTTTATAAATTAAATGTTAAATATCTGCACATATGCAGTGTAAAAACACTAATTAACAAACAGTTTTAGGATTTTGCCTCATTTAAAAATATTCTGACATTAACCACTGATAAAAGTTTGATTGTTTATGTAATCTAAAGATGTTTAAGTTGTACTGTTATATACCTCTTATATTTAATATAGTGTTTGGCTCCAAATCGGTTTAAATGTTGGTCAAATAAACTGCTGTCGTTATGCTTTTTGATTTTGAACTGCATTGTCCTGCAACCTTCCAGCACCTGACCGTCACTGGCTGTGGATGCAGGAGTTTTACTGGTTATCGCTAATTTTATGTGTTTTAATCTACCAACCATCTTAATTTATTTGTGCTTTTATTCAGAATTTATCAAAACTTTTATCAATATGAGTTCTTATTCTGGGTGGCTTTAATATCCGTGTTTGTGGCACTTCTTCTTCATTTACTTCTGGTTTTATTTAAAGGTCCAGTTTGTAACAATCTTTATTATAAGTTTATTAAAAGTTGTGTTTGAGTTTCATTATTCTCCACCGACGTCCAGCTGCTGTTGGTGAGGAAAGAAGAAGTTCCCCCTCAGCAGCAGCGGGATCGGAGCCCCAGTCTGGACCAGGTGGACCCATCAGAGCTGCCACTTATAAAAGAGGAACTCTGGACCAGTCAGGAGGGAGAGCAGCTTTGAGGGCTGAAGGAAGCTGAGTTCACTCCTGTCACCGTGAAGAGTGATGAAGATGATAAAGAGAAACCTCAGTCCTCACAGCTTCACCGAAGCCAAACTGAAGAGGACACAGAGGACTGTGGAGGACCAGAACCAGCCAGGAACTTTAATCCAGATATTCATTTACAACCAGAAACTGAAGCCACAGCGTCCTCTGAGCCCGAGACAGCCGAGAGAGTCTTGGAGGAGACCCAGGAACCTCAGTCAGGGTTAAACCTTCTGGAAAACAAAGAAGCCCCCCTAAGAGATCTGGAGTGTAATAGCTCCTCTGGATGTGCTACAAGCTCTGACCATCAGGGGCATCTGCAGACACACAATGACACCCAAACAAAAGGGAAACCATTCAGTTGCTCAATTTGTGGTGAAAGCTACTCGGGGAAGAACAACTTAATGAATCATATGAGATCTCACTCAAAGGGAACACGGTTCAACTGCTCATTCTGTAGAAAGACTTTTACCCAGAAAGAGGACGTTGTGGCGCACATGAAGAGCCACGTAGGAGAGAAACCCTTCAGTTGCTTCGTCTGCGGTAAAAGATTCACACAAATCTCAGCCCTGAAAAAACACTCGCGACTTCACACGGAAGAACAATCGTTCACATGCTCGGTTTGTAAGACAATCTTCCGTTTCAGAAGCAGTTTGTTGCAGCACAGGAGAGTCCACACGGGAGAGAGACCCTTCAGTTGCTCCGTCTGCGGTAAAAGATTCACTCAGATCGACGTTTTCAAAAAACTAAAGTGTGTCGACGAGAGCAGCAGCAGTAAATGAAGCTCACTGAGACATTTGAATCCAGCAGCAGTGTTTCCCACACAGATACAGGAAGTGTTGAGTTTAAATAATACATTTATATTTCTTTTCATATCAAATATATCATTAAACTGTGAATGTTGCAGATGAGTTTTTATCTAATTTTAGAAACCTTTTATACAGTTCTGTCTGTATTATATATATTTTAACAATCACAGAGTCATAATAGAACATTTCTTTTTTACATAGTCAGTGTTTTCTTCTGCCTGGTATTTGGCCATTGTTCTAATATAACTTTATTATAATCTAAACTTGAAATACTGAGATAAAGGTCTAGTGTGTATATATTTAAAGTGTTCTTACCCCTGTTAAGGCCTCACAGCGCCCTGTGAAGCTTTGGCGACCCCCCAGGAGGGAAACAGTTCAAAACTGTGGAAAGACAAAATAGGTCTGTTCAGCTGATGTGAAGCCACATGATTATTTATTTCTGTTTTTATTTACAGATCTTTAATGTTCTTATAGAAAGTGTAAAAAAGTTTTCAGTTCAGAGTGAAACTGGTGGTCTGGCTCAGGCTTAGTAATACATGAGAAACACTGTTCTACATTATTTGGTTGTTTTCTGAGATCTTCGCTTTTTGGTTTTACACGTAACTGTTGATTCAAAATGTATTTAAGACGATGTTCTCAAACCGCTTCACCTAAATTGTTTCACTGAGTGAGTTGTTGAACACCGCAAATGAATTCACCTCATTGTTGAGCCTTAAATAAATGGTTTGGATGTATGTAAATTGTCTTTTGCATCGTTTTCAATTATTTTCTGTCACCTACACACAGGGTCCCAAATGAACACCCGCTAAATACAAGTAAACTTTGGGTTTGGTGGAAAAACTAGCTGTGATCACTAGAGGTGTGTAATTACTTAATGTTTGGCATACATTGTTAAATAGGGGAACAACATAAAAATACAATAAAAGTAACATTTTTCATTTTACCTGGACTTTAAGAATCAGAAAGTATTTAGAAAGTCACACAGGTCGGCTTTTTTACAAAAGGACATGAAGTATTTGAAATCAAACAGCCAAACATAAAAGCAATGACACTGATCGAATTTTTCCACCAACAGGGAACCGGCTCTGTTCCATTCTGTTCGAGGGAAAATTTCGACTAAAACTAAATTAATTTTGAACCCAAAGGATGTGTCATATTCTACAGACTGTGCAGCGCCCTCTGTTGATGATGCATCCAATTACAATGGTTCAGCTCAAACCTGCTGGAAACGCAGGCTAGTTCGCAAGAAACAAAACTGGTTCAAGAACCAGAACTAAAAATTCTCTGCCTTTTCCACCAACAGGGAATCGGCTCCATTCTGGTTTGTGCACCAAGTTCTGAATCGTTCAGAGCATTTCAACAAAAAATTAATTGGTTTTAAAATTTAAAAGTTTTATTGCTTTCTGAAACCAACACAGGATGTTTTGCACAAAGAGACTCATATTGCATCACAGGAAAAGATGTTGAGGGCAAGTATGAGCTGCAGTCTGTGGTAAGAGGTCTGAGATCGAAAGGCTCAGCTATATTTATAAAGTATGAACACTTTATTTAATTCACTATAAAACAAGAAAAGTGGTCAAAATCAAAGCAGTAAAGACTGAGTGCGCAAAATCCAGTTAAATAAAATATTTAATTAGTGATGTAATTTGAGTCATTAAGAAACATACATAGATGGAGTGCCCCATAATCTGTAAGATGTGGTGGCAGGACTTCTGATTGCCTGCAAATATGACATCTTAACCTTAAAATGTAATGAATAAAAATGAATAGTAAATAATCAAAATAGTTTTTATTGAAGACATATTATGTTTACATTGACTGAAATGTTTAAATCCAAGACTGTATGTTTTTATGGCTGTAATAATCCATTAATGTATTTAGTCAGATATTCAAGTTGTTTTGCATCATTTAACACACATTTGCCCAAAGCTAGAGAGTGAGATTAAGATATTTTCAAAGCAAATTCAAATAAAAATCAAGCAAGCAAATCAGGGAAAAGTAAATCCTGAATAGTCCTCGGCCATTTTCTTTTTGTGTTTAAGCATATGTGTCTGACTGTTCGGACTGATGCTTGAAGTTGATGAAGTCTTCTCCGAAGTTGATAAGGTATTTCAGGGTGCTGAGGATCATTAAGTCAGTGTCATCATTGAGATCGATTTCTTCGTGGTAGTTCTTCACAGGGAAGATGCAGTTCATTGGAATACCCATGTCTACACTGAACTGCTCCATCTGCGGTAAAAAGAATCATATTTCAGTTCGAATCTTAACCAAGAACAAAAGCTTAAATTGATCGTACAAAAAATGAAACAGACCTTTTGCTTCAGAGCCTTGGTCTTGTAAACATTCTTTAAATCATCTCTGAGTTCAGGACAGACCTTATCAATTTTGGTGATGATGGCCACTTGAGGAATCCCTGCCAGGAGAACACAAAACTACTGAGTCTGACAGACATACAAACAGACCACAGCTGCTGTTCTCTGTGAGGACGTATTTGATTGATCCATGGATGTGGAAGGATTAGAAAATGTCTTCCTCTCACCAAGGTCACGGGCTTCCAATCTGATTTCCCGAAGCCTCTTCATAGTTTCGTCTTGTGCTACAGTTGCTGTGTCGGCAGGAACGACACAAACCAGAACATGCACTTTGTCGTTGGAAGATGGGTTTTTGTTGTAGAATTGATCACCTTCTGACAACTTAGCTCTAGGATTGAACTGGAAAACAATATCAAATACAGGTGAAGAAATAAATGTAATTCAAAGTAATAACATTAATTAAAGTTAGTGAATAATATTAAAGTTCGTACCACATAACCGTTCTTCACATGCCCCTTTAAAGCCAGTTTCACATCGTCCACAAGGACCTCGCTGCTTGCATCCAGGCCCATAATGTCATTGAAGACAAAAGGATAAAAGGAGTCTGGGTTTCCTTTTTGGATCTTGTAGGTTGTGAACTGTAACAAACAGAAGTAATGTATTTATTTAAACCTAAATAAGTAGTTTTGCTGCCTACACATTAAAGTGTAACTAAACCCTAAAATTCTGGTAGCTTCCTCCCACCATGCAGCAGTACAGTACAGCTGCTGGTAGTCAGAGCTAACAGAGCTAACCAGAACAGACTCTTTGTGTCTACGCTGCAAACACTGAGAGTCTGCTGGAGCTTTTATAGTCACTAGAAGCACATTCACCTGTGTTGTAACGTTAGCTAAGCTAGCGGCTCAGAGACGCTAACTCTCAGGTGTCTGTGGAAGAGTGTCAGGCTACCGCTATGTAGCAGGCCACAATCTGCAGAGTGGAGACATTGGTTTTATAGGAGCAGGGGTTGGTTGGTGACAAAACCTGCTGTCATACAACATCTGACTCCAGATCAGCCAATAGCAAAATCCAAGTGCTTTTGGGGTTTAGTTATGCTTTAAAATGGACCTATGATGCACATTTCCAGCTCTATATTGTTAGTCTGAGACTCCACTAGAGTAGCTTTGCACAATTCACTCTTCAAAACCGTCCTTATTTATCTTAAACTTTAAGCAGGCCCATCAATTCATTCTACGTCTGGAACAAGTTGTCTCTTTAAGCTGAGTTTGATTCATTCATAGATAGCTACTTGAGCCACTAACTGCAGCTGCTTTTAGCTTGTTAGCTGTGGAGCTAACTTAGCCGTCCTATTAGGTTATTCGGCCTAGACTGGGAGCTCAGAGCACCCGGGGAAGTGTCGGTGTTTAACATTACAACTCTAGTACAGGAGCTTTGGACCACCGGTGCCCCAAACTCCCAGTCCGTTAGCAGCCGTTAGCAGTTAGTTTATAGATACAAGGAAATGTCCATCAGTAAACTCTGTAAATCCCAGAGAGTTGAGGCAGAGAAGCTGCACGACATCGGAGGGACACCAGAAAATATGTAACTTTCCTTCCCAACTAAAAAGTGCTTTTTGTAAGACAAAAACTTCAAGAGTCAGCCCTCACTGATAACTTTGCCTGGAGCAGTTAACCATCAAAAGGACGTTAGAGACGTTGCATTCAGAAGAGTTTGAATTCTGAGCTTTTTGCTCACAGAGATTACTTTTACATATGTTTACCTCCTTATTTGACAGGTTTAACATCAGAATACGACATTTTAACATTATATATATAAAACTAAAGTATAACAAGTCTCCTTTAACCACATGTTGATTATTGTTACCAGTAGGAGTGAGCGAGTACAACATCTGTGTCTGTTCAACCAACTAAAGGATCTGAATTCATGATGGGCGGGGCTTAAAGCTACAGTGGTTATACTGAAAGTGGGCGGGGCACACCTGAAGTTGTTCATTTAAGGCTGAAGTTAATATCGGTTGATCAGATGTTGCTAATATATTTATGAATAAACTAATTACAGAATAACCTCAGAATTCAGCTCCAGACTAATGTTTTTGGTAAAACTACAGACACATTTTACTCATTTGACAATTTTGTTTGTAAAAAGTTTATTTGTACCCAATACTTTCCGTCGAGTGCTCGCTCAACTTGCTTAATCCAATTCCAGGTGTTTCTATGACTAAAAAGCTAGTCTCTAAATCTCCAGGTTTTCCAGGATAAGTGGGAACCCTGTAAACGTTACACAGTCAACCTTTAATAAACAGGAAGTCAGTGAAGCTGCTGCAGTGGTTAATGCTTCCTGTCTACTGTTGGTCGGATCAGTTTGCTGAATTGTTCTCTGGTTGTCTTGTGTATCGTGCAATGGCATTGTCTTTATGCTGATTCTTTTTAATATTATGATGTTCTTCATACCTTTTGGGTGAAAGAATCACCACTGGTGTTATCCACCAAAGCCAGGTTACACATCCTTTGTCGTAAGACACTCTTAACAGAGTTGATGAAACTAGATTTTCCAGCTCCAGGCGGCCCATGAAGCAGAATCCTGAGCTGCTGGCCTTCAATATGAGGTTTGTAGTCCTGTACATACTTCAGGGCACTCTGCTTGTCTCTGCTCAGAGAAGGACACTTTATATTACAGACTTTATATTAAATCTTAATCTTTAAGTTAATCATGACATTTTCAAAAGAGAAAAATAAGTAAAGAAATAAAATTCTGTTAAGCTGCACAAATTCACCCTTTACTAACTGCTTATTAGCATGCATATTAGTATCATTCTGGCTCTTTATTCATTATAAAGTACTTAGTAATGCCTTATTCTGCATGACCATATTATGTAATGTGTTGAGGAAGTGTTTTCCCTCAGTAACCTCCTAATTACTGCTCATTGATAGTAAGTAATGAATTTGTTGTACATGAATTACGATCTGAATGTGCTTTGCTCAGCATGTTAATAAATAATAGTTATTCCCTTTAATAACACTTAATATTATGGTCAAAGAATTACATCCATTAATAGTGTCCAAATAACAATACATTCTTAAAGTCTCTTCTAACTCAACAAACATATTACTTGTTTTTATTTTAAATATTTAAAAAAACATTAAAATGACCACACTTTAAGGTCTTTCTTAGTTATGAGCAAGATCTCACTTTAGAATTGGAACATTGGAAATTAGGGATGTCCGATATTATCGACCGATATTCACAAAAAATGTAATATCGGGAATTATCGGTATCGGGGTTTTATAACCGATGTATGTTCTGGAGGCTTCAGCATTTCCGAGCCTGCCTGAACGCAGCATGGGACGTTTACAGGCGCGCGCTAGATGACGTATAACAACAACAACAACCACTAGACTGGTTGGTTGCTGACTGTGGCTAACAAGCAAACAATTTAAAGCTGAATGATTTTAATATTAACACAAAATAAAAGTGCAATGCACCTTAAATATTTTACCCTGCTCTGAGCTGTTCCTTAACCAAACTAACAATTGGCTCAGAATTTACATTAGCACTCCTTCAGGTGCATAATACAATTAAACACATTAACCAAAGCTAGTGCTTAGCTAGCGATTAGCGTTAGTGCTCTTTTCAGTATTAATACAATGAAAGTTGAAGTTGTTCTCTTATTTTGCACAGACAGTGTTTACATTTGGAAAGCCATGTTGCATTTATGTATGCATCCAGATGGGCATCACAATAAAATTAGGCATAATGTGTTAATTCCACAATAGGAGATGTGTTATGTTGTTACAGTTTTGGTGTAAAAAGCCTGCAGATATCGGTATCAGGGGATATCGGTAGTTCAACAATATCGGAATATCAGATATCGGCAAAAAAAGCCAATATGGAGCATCCCTATTGGAAACATATTCTGAGTTATAAAGACTTAATTTATAGTTATTAGGACATTAACACCTGTAGTTTTGTTTTTTGTTACGTAAGAAAAGACGTAGTTAATAAGAGACTATTCTTGTGGTATTACCACCTTTATAAAACCTATACTGAGGGAAGCACAGGAAGATTATAATTGATGTACAACAACTTCCTTACTTATTATAAATAAGCAACAATTAGAAAGTTATTGAGGGAAAACTCTTGGCCTAGTCGTTGTAGAATATGGTCAAGCAGAATAAAGCATTAATAAGTGCTTTACCATGAATAATAAAGAGTCAATATCCTACTAATATGCATGTTACTATGTGAAAGATGTTGAAAAAGGTTGTATTGAAGGTGCAGACTCACTGCCAGTTTATTTTCCTCCATGGTTCGCTGAGAACTGACAAATACAGGATATGTGTTCAGATGAGACCAAAGATAATGAAAACATACAGTCATCATGCAACAAACTGTAATTTTCTATAAGTAAAAAAAAATCAATCTTACGTTGAGGTTGATCAGATTTGGATTGTTTAGGTCCCATGGCTGAAGAATAAAACAGTTACATAAACAGTAAATAAAAATCAAAGTGACTGCAGCAGTCAACGACAAAATGGCTGCTCAACATCAACAGCAAATAACAGTACCATTAAGTTGAATCTGTCTCACTAACAGCTGGACAGTGTGCCTAACAACAGTGAGAGTGTAATACAACTATAGTCAAGCCTCAGTATAAACAGCTTTATATGTGAAAATGTATAAAAAGGAATAATAAAGCTGCAGTCGGAGCCTGTAGGCTTATGTTCACATTGTGGTCAAATATGTCCACCAGCTGTAAACAGGCTCTAGAATCAATGAAACTGACTGAAAAATAGATAAAACTCTTTTTTAAAATAAACTCCATCATCTTCATGTTAATGTCTATGTTACAATGATCAGATTTTAGTTATTTTATTTAATTTTTTATTTTCTGCACTAAAATTAAAAACTTAAAATGAGAGTAAATAGTAACAACAAGCACAACAGACTTACCTGTGTTGCTGCACTGGAGCAATGTGACAGGCAGAAAGTGAGACTTTAGATTATACTCTCCAGTAATTAGCATATTCAATGAGTCTTCCAATCCTGTTTCGACTTTCACTTTGGACAAATATGAGACTGAAGATCACGTGTTGTTTCTTATGTGACCTCAGACAGCCTCAGTGTTATTCTTTTCTATTATATTTTTTATGTTTATTGTGAATGAACAAAACATAAATTTCTGTGCAAGTATTTATCAACCACAAAAACAGATTCAATCATTAATAGGCTGTATGTGTGTACATTTGACGGTTTACAGCATTTCCAAAGGGCTGCATGTAAAAGATCGCTGCAAGTAATTTCTGTTTAACAAGCTGCAGCAGTCAGTGCTTCCTGTCTACTGTTGGTCTTATCAGTTTGCACATTTTAGGCTTTCTAAATAATAATTGTTCCGTGCAATGTCTGTCTGTGTCTTTATGCTGATGTTCTCGTGGAAACCGTTTTTGGAAATAGTTTTTGTTGTTGTTGTGATGTTCCTCACACCTTCTGGGTGAAAGATTCATGACTGGTGTTATCCATTCAAGCCTTACCACTCATCCTTCCTTGTAAAAAACAGATTTCCCCCCCAAAACCCTAAATGGCACATGGGCAAAAAATATATACGCACACTGCATACTGCATACATACACTTAAAAATACTTCAATTAACAAATAAAAGAAGTAAGAGAGATATTAGTCACTGAGGAGCAAAAGAGCTGCGACAAAACAAACCATGCAGACCACATCCTGGGGAATGATACCAACATCTGTGTGTACTGTACCGATAGCCATCACCTACCACCTCACAACACTCAACTCAGTTTCACTTTCACTTTTTCAAGGGCCTCGGACAGGGCACCGACTATTTATCATTGATTTGAGCTGTAGAGAGTTCCAGAGAGATAATGTCAACCAATGAAATGAAATGTGCTTACTGATAATAAATAAAGAAGTTGTTGCACATGGATTAGGATCTTAATGTGGTTTGCTCTGTATGCATCAACATATGACCATTTACTGCTCTGCCAATGGGGTTCTGGTTAATGAACAGGAAGTTAGTGAGGTTGCTGCAGCAGCCCGCCCAAGCCTTGCCACACATCTTTTCTTGTAAGATGCTGTCAACATAGTTGATGACTTGACGACTTAATTTAGAGTTATTTGGACACTATTAACACCTTTAGTTTTATGTATCGTTACATAAGATTATGTATAACGCATTTATTGACGTATTTAAGTGATGTGAGTATTATGTGTTATAAAGGGCAGTTTTTGAGTTTCACATCCACTGAAGAATAATAATAAATAAGAGCCTTTCTTTTTTGACAAATTCTGTGTTTTCTTGTCCCTGACATTTGGCCATTGTTCTATTAGACAATCTACTTTACTTTATATTTGCTTTTCTTCACAGAAGTAAACCAAATGCTGAGATATAGGCCTACTGCGTATATATTTAAAGTTTTCTAGCACCCCTTAAAGAATCGAGAGATTAGGAAACAGGAATAACAATAAAAGAAAATAAAACCTACAAGCATTCAAAGTTTAAGAAATAATATGAAAACAAAACTACAAACATTGAAAGGTATAACAGTCAATAACAGTATGAAAAGCAATAAAAACTACACAATAGGATAAAGTGCTTACGAAACAGGTGGGTTTTTAGCAGCTTCTTAAGACTATCGGCAGTTATCATGCTGGGAGGAAACAAAAGTGTGAATAACTCTTTCTTGATCTTTAAAGGAAAATATGCCTTTGATTTCAGCAATGTTTCTTTAGTGGAAGAAACAAGTTTGGACTACAAAGCTGCTAAGAGACCAATCAAGTGTAAACTTATCATGATGACACCCATTGGTTTGTAGAGAATCGTTTTGAAGCCTCAAGTTTGGCGTTTTGGTCGTCGCCATGGCGGTTTGTCTGAGTTTCAACTAGTCTGTAGCAGGAAACAATGGCGGCTCAGGATCTGGTATTCCAGATAAACAGTAAAATGTGTTTGTGAACAGATTTTAGGAGAGAAATAGTCAACAACAGAATCTGGATCCATATCTGATCAGCACTGTTTGACAGTTTGATCTGAGTTTGGTTGAGCTGGACGGACTCACTGAGAATGAGCTGTCAATCACAAGGTAGCCCCGCCCTAAAGCATACGCTGCTTTATGGTCTGTTTTACTCTAAATGGGACCATCAGTTACTAAATGAACATCATGCTGTATGGAAGAAGACTGAAACCAGAGACCATAAACCCATCAGGAAACTGTTTACTGAGACTGCATGCTATCAGTTATTATTACAGTCCAGAGCTGCCCCCTGCTGGCCTTTACATATAACGCAGGTTTAAGATACTTACGTTGGCTTCACTTAACAGACCCACAGAAGCTCATATACACTGTCAGTGGGATCAGTACACTGCTGAACTTTTCCAGAAATCCTCTCGCTATGATAAGGACATCTGTTTTGTCAGGGTTAAGTTGGAGGAAGTTGTCTGATATCCAGTTATATGTAAGGCAGTTTACCAATGGTGTCTGAATGTAAGGAGAAGTACAGCTGTGCATCATCCACATAACAATCATAGGAAATACACTTAAATCGACTAATTAAGGAACCTCGAAAGGCCTCGTGTGTAGCTTTGGCGATCACTAGTGGGGTTTGGGAACCACAGTTCTACACATATAGACATTGAAGCTGTAGTGAAAGGTCTATGGACCATTTTCACTGTCTAATTCTGGTTCACTGTTGACTTTAATGTAATAATAATTTAATATAGCTTATACTTAATATTAATACATTATATATATTGTTTATATTAAATAAAAATACAGTTCATTAACATATTTAATTAATGAGGTAATTGAGGATGTTTCTTGACTTGACAAAGCTGAATGTGTGGTACAGTAGCACTTGAGTGGCTGTAGCTCAGAAAAAAGACGACCCGCTCTACCGTTACTTATCAGAAGTTTGCCGGTTCGATCCCCGACTCCTCCTGCTGCATGTCAAAGTGTCCTTGAGCAAGATACTGAACCCAAATTGCTCCTGATGCTAGTTTCTGTTTATAATGTCATCCATCACTGTATGAATGGGTGAATGTGGCATGTAGTGTCAAAGCGCTTTGATTGGTCGGAAGACTAGAAAGTTTCTATATACTGTGTATAAGTGGAGTCCATTTATCATTTGATTTGAGTTGGAAACTGACTTTGAAATGTAAACCTACTTACGTTATTAAAACCTTAATTAAGTTGTTTTAACCCTTCAAGTTAATGAAAATAGATATGAATATAGAACAGAATGATTGTAGCTTTTTATTTTTCATTTATTCAACTTTTATTTTATCAGGTATATGATGCTCACATTGAGTGAAACATTCACACTGTTTTTATGGCTGCATTAATCCATTAAATTCAGGACATTTTAGATGTTTTGCATAATTTAACAAACATGTTACCAAAACTGACAGTTACTGGATTGAGATGTTTATACAGCAAATTCGAATAAAAATCAAGCAACCAAATCAGCAAAGAGTGAATCCCCAATTGCAAAATTCTGCCATCTTTTTGTGTTTAAGCATATGTGTCTGACTGTTCTGACTGACGCTTGAAGTTGATGAAGTCTTCTCCGTAGTCGATAAGGTGTCTCAGGGTGCTGAGGATCAGTAAGTCAGTGTCATTATTGAGTTTGATTTTCTCATGGTAGTTCTTCACAGGGAAGATGCAGTTCATCGGAATACCCACATCTACACTGAACTGCTCCATCTGCAGTAAAAAAAAAAAAAATCACATTTCAGTTCACATCTTAACCAGGAACAAAGGCTTTAATTATATTCAAAATGTGGCTCCACATCTGTGAAAACTCAGGAAATTACAAATGAAAACATACCTTTTCCTTCAGAGCTCTGATCTTGTAAACATTCTTTAAATCATCTCTGATTTCAGGACAGACCTTATCAATTTTCGTGATAACAGCCACTTGAGGAATCCCTGCCAGGAGAACACAAAACTACTGAGTCTGACAGACATACAAACAGACCACAGCTGCTGTTCTCTGTGAGGATATATTTGATTGATCAATGGATGTGGGATGGGTTAAAAAATGTCTTCCTCTCACCCAGGTCACGGGCTTCCAATCTGATTTTCCGAATCTTCCTCACAATTTCGTCTTTTGCTGCATCTACTGTGTCGGCAGGAACGACACAAACCAGAACATGCACTTTGTCGTTGGAAGATGGGTTTTTGTTGTAGAATTGATCACCTTCTGACAACTTAGATGCAGAATTGAACTGGAAAACAATATCAAATACAGGTGAAGAAATAAATATAATTAAAAGTAATAACACTAAAGTGTGAAGTGAATAATATTAAAGTTCGCACCACATAACCGTTCTTCACATGCCCCTTTAAAGCCAGTTTCACATCGTCCACACGGACCCCTTTGCTTATATCCAGGCCCTTAATGTCATTGAAGACAAAAGGATAAAAGGAGTCTGGGCTTCCTTTTTGGATACTGTAGGTTGTGAACTGTGGAGCAAATACAGACAAAACTGCAGTTTACATCATGAATCGTTGTAGCCAACATTGACAGTAACTTCTGTACATAACTGCACTCAACAAACAGAAGTAATGTACTTATTTTAACCCAAACCACAATCTCTTTCTAAAAGGAAAACAGTGGTCCGGTTTGCCAGTGGCTGATACTCTCCAACAGTTATATATGTTGTTTTAGGGGTTGTTAACAAATGACCTATTGTGTTGTTTAGGTATGAGGCTGTGTCAGAGAGTGTCAGTGATATTGGTGTGGTGCCTCTGCAGAACCCAAAAGATAGTCAGACAGACAGTCTGGAAACTAATTAAACAGAATTGAAAACAAACACTGAAAACGAAATCATAAAAAAATAATGAAAAGATCAAAACTACAGTAATAACTCTTATTCAGTAAACATGCAGAGAAGTCTTTAAATGTGTAGATAAACCACAACAGCAAAGCCATCAAACGCATCATAGCACTCCCTCAATCAATTTTTAACACTGCTCCCATCTGGCCCCAGATAAAGATCACTGGCCTGTAAACGAGTGTGCTGTGGCAGAAGGGACGAAACTTCGGCCATAGCCTCAGCAAACTCATTTACAGGCCAGTGATCTGTGACTAGCATTACTCAAAACTCAAAAACAAAACTCCCTGGTAGCCCTTATGTGTAAATACCTGTGCTGTGTTTAGATGTCTATCCTGTGGTAATGTTGTGTGTATACGTTTATGTACAGACTGTGGCAACACATTTCCTGAAAAGGACAATAAAGAATCTATCTATCTAGAAATCGGTAAATGTGTAGACAAATCTGTGAATGCAGACATATATATTAGTGGCTTTTGCTCCAAGGGCTGGAAATACAGACAATTCAGTTACAACTCAGGCGGAACTCTCTTTTTTTCTCTCAGTTTGCACATTTAGGACTGTTGCACATTTTAGACTTGATTTCCTAAATAATAATTTGTCTATTTGTCTATCTGTCTTTATGCTGCTGTTCTCATGGAACCTGCATATACGTACCTTGTGGGTGAAAGAATCATCACTGGTGTTATCCACTAAAGCCAGGGCACACATCCTTTGTTGTAAGACACTGTTAACAGAGTTGATGAAACTGGACTTTCCAGCTCCAGGCGGCCCATGAAGCAGAATCCTGACCTGCTGGCCTTCAATATGCGGTTTGTAGTCCTGTACATACTTCAGGGCACTGTGCTTGTCACTGCTACAAAAAGGAAACTTTATATTACAGACTTTAAATTTAGTATCCATTCTGTGTTTGATACCCAGATGTCTGATGAATGATGAACTGAGAAGTTTATCACATTTCCAAAAGAGAAAAGTGTGTCACAGCATTTTCTATTAAGGTGCACATATTCACCCTTAACTAGTTGCTGATTAGCAAAAACTAGAATAGTCTAACTAGTTTTAGAATATGGAGTTTCCCCCCAAAACCCTCCTAATTACTGCTCATTTAGTAGTTATGGAAGTTTGTAGTAGCTAAGGAATCACTGGCCTATAAAAAGGCAATAAAGGATCTATCAGTGGTAAAAACAAAAAACTTCAATTTTGAATAGTCTCCAAATAACTCTAAATTAAATATTTTCTAACTCAGAATATGCTTGTTTTAACCTTTCAACTTGACTAATAAAGAGCCACTATACTACTAATATACATGGTTGTATTGAATGTGCAGACATACTCACTTCCAGTCTATTTCTCTCCATGGTTTGCTGAGAACTGACAATTACAGGATACATGTTCAGATGAGACAAAAGATAATAAAACATACAATTATTATGCAACAGACTGTAATTGTCCATGAGTAAAAACTGTTTAGAAATTGTTTAAAATCTTACTTTGAGGTTGGGGTTCATTAGACTTGGACTGCTGAGCTCCCATGGCTGAAGAAGAAAACATTTACATATATAGTAACCATATATAGTACCATATATATTTGGTAGAATAGACATATAAAATCCCACTTTATTAAAAAAAAAAACATAAACCACAGTGTTTAATGAAACTAAAAAAATAAAATAATTATTATTATATTTTTTTTACAACTTATATCCCCTGAAACAGCTTTGGTTTGCTGCTCTGATATTTAAGCTATTTCAATATGTTACAACAGTGTAAAGTTATTTATATGATCAACTAAAATCAACTAAACACAAAAATACACAAAATACCTTTTAAAAGTAAAATTCATTTCAGCAGGCTTATGTCAGTTCCAGATTACAATGGTTTACTTATTCTTCAAAATTAAAAGTTTAAATAAACTGTAACAACAAGCACAATAAATATCAAACTTACCTGTGTTGCTGCACTGGAGAAATGTGACAGGCAGAAAGCGAGACTTTGGATTATATTGTCTCCAGTAATTAGCATATTCAAGGATTCTTCCAGTCCTGTTTCAACTTCCACTTTGATCAAATATGTGACTTAAGATCATGTCTCCAGTCTCAGTTCCTCAGTCTCCTCGGACCACAGAACACATTTTCTTCTTCTCAGGCTGTTTGAAGATCGAAACTTTCTCATGGAACTCTGACAGCCTCACAGGGTGACAGTTTTTATTTTCCATTATGTTTGGTATGTTTATTGTGAAAGACAGCCCCGCTAATCTTAAAGGTCCAGTCTGTAACATTTAGGAGGCTCTATTGGCAGAAACTGATAATATCTAATAGTCTAATCTATTATACAATTTAATAAATGATATTCATAGGTATGTTTTTATTAGTGGAAATAAAACATAATAACCTGAAAATAAGAATTTGAAGAAGTAGTGTTTTGATTTTTTGCCGCTACTGAATAGTAATAAATAAAAAGAGGCTTTCAATCTCAGAATTAGAAACTGCTGTACAATGCAAACATTAGACAGATAAAACAGGAATAACAATATACAACATTAAAAACTAAACTCAGAATTTAAAACAAGAAATAACATTAAAACAATAAAACTACAAACATTCAAAGGTAAAAGAGTAAATAACAGTATGAAAAGCAATAAAAACAACACATTACAGGATAAAGTGCTTACGAAACAGATGAGATTTTAGCAGCTTCTTGAAGCTATCAACTGACTTTGCGTTTTTTTAGGCAGATGGCGGGATGGTTGTGCTTTGTATTTTTAAAATATGTAACCATCATACAGGCTTAATAGGCTTTTTTTTTCTTGACCCTTGGCCATTGCTCTATAAGCTCTTGTTTTCTAATGCAGAACGATGCTGCTTATTAGTTTCTAGCCATATAGTTTGTGTTCAGGTCTTCAAAGTTAAATAATAATGTGAAGTTTTAAATTAATTTAATTTAATTTAGTTTTCTTCACAGCAGTGCACAGAATGCTGAGATATAGGACTACTGTTTTCTTACATGCCTTAAAATCAGTTGATGAATTTGATGGATAATCAATTTAAATTGGTCAGTACCAGAGTGATGTGTGACCTACGACTTGTGTTAGTAAGAAGTATTGCAGCTGCAATCTGGACCAACTATAGAGTGATAAACAGTGAGTGGGTGGTAAACAGTAAATTGCAATAATCATGATGGAAGGAAACAAAAGCGTGAATTACTTTTTCCAGATCACAAATCACATGTGAACCTATTGTGACGTCACCCATTGGTTTGTGAAGTAGTATTTTGAAGCCTCAAGTTTAGCGTTATGGTTGTCGCCTTGACAGTTTGTCAGCGCCAGCAGAGGTGACTTACTGCAAGGTGGCATGAGGAAAAGAAATCATTCCTGAGGCATGGCAACGGGCAGGAGGGATTCTTATTCCCAAAGTAAATAATGCTGGAACCATCTGCAAATTCCACCAGACCAGCCTCCTGAATGTGGAAATAAAGATCTTCTTCTGTGTTGTGGCACAAAAACTCACAGCTTTTCTGCAGAGCAACAATTTCATTGACACCTCAGTGCAGAAATCAGGGACACGGGGCTTCTCTGGATGCCTAGAACAGGCAAATGTCATCTGGCACCAGATACAAATTGCCAAGAAGGAAAAGAAAGATTTGCATGTGGTTTTCCTAGATCTTGCCAATGCCTTCGGTTCGGTGCCTCACAAGACACCCAGAGAGCATCACAAAGCTGGTCAAGTTCTGTGTCAAAACACAGGACAGCATTGCAACATCTCTCCCCTGGCATTCACCATAGCAATGGAGCTCATTAAGACAAAACAAACCTCGAGGAAAACATCAAATGGGCATGGATGGAAATCAAACCTAGCGAATCCCACAAGTATTTCCATTGTGAAAGGCCGGCTCACTAATGAAAAATTCTACATCAACAATGAGCCAATACCAACTTTCCTTGAGAAACTCATCAAATGCCTTGGACGATGACACTGAGCATTGACAGCTGGTAGAGGAGGAGGTGCGCTGCCGAGAAGAAACAGCCAGGAGCAGCCAGCCATATCCTGAGACAAGGAAGGTTGCTGGATGAGGTGGGATGGTGTTGAGACAAGGAAACTCACATGGAATCAAGCAGGTTACGCTTCATCATCAGAGCCATGTATGATGTCCTGCCCTCTCCCACAAACTTAAAACTTTGTTTGGGGGAGGATTCAGTCTGTTCTTAATGTGCGGTTCTGGCAACCATCAGGCACATATTGGTCGGATGCAGATACACCTGGCGACATTTAAGGCAAGAAGCATTGTTATAACAAAGAAATAATCTACCAAACAAAAATGTCCTTACTTTTTGTGCCTAGTTTATATATACACACCCAAAGTTTGACCCTCTACATCAAATGTAAAACATAGTGATGTTGTAATGTTCCTTTAACAACCTATTATTTAGCAAGCCATAACTATTTTTGATTATGCATGAGACACAAAAGGCTTTGGTGTCAGTCACAACTGGTCTGTTCTACCAAGTAGAAACCAACACAGTATGTGTTATATAAAGAGATGCATAGTGCACCATAGGTCACACTGTTGGTACAATTGGTTGAACAGGATGCTAAGGTGAAGCGTGGGCTGCAGTTTCTGTGGCAAGACTACAAACTAACTGTCCGAGGTGGAAACAGAGTTCCTATTTAATTGATATCCTTTTGTGTCCCTTTGTCATATTTTGATTATTGACCATTGTGTGTGTCAGAGTTCAGTGGGGAATAAAGGGAGCAATATTTCATGCTGGATCTCTCAACATGTTTATGAAGAAAAATCTTGCCTAAGCCCAGTTCACACTGTGATTTTAGCCCTTGTTTTCTATTCACCAACTATTTTGGGAAATAACAACAAATGTCTTGGAGAGGGCAGAAAAATATTTAGCAGGTTAAACTTGTCAGAGACTAGTGGAGGAGCAATGCAACAAGCTACAGCCTGTCAGAGCAGACACAGGTATCCTCTCTCTTCAGCACCGGACAGGAAGCCGTGTATCAGTGGGTAATTTGGTAACAACCAAAAAAAACCTCCTCTGATACAGACACACACAAAATGGATGGTGAATTAACAGTGCTATAAGTTGGTGTTCAATTCAGTGTGAATCTGATCCACCAACTAGCACTTCATCTGAATTATTGAAATGGTCCGCCTCTCATTCTCACAGACCTCTCTCACTGAAAGAGCGCAGCTACAACAGACTGAACACTCGAGGCGACAAAAAAATGTAAAGTTTGTATAGAATGCAGTTTACATTTATGGATTATAGTGATACAGAATTTACCAGAAAACTGTGGACATATGACACCCTTTAGCTGTTTAATGGTTTAATAATGTGTGTATTGATTTCTAACACTGTCTGATCAGAATAAGTGCCAGCTAACTATACTCAGTTTCTAATGGCAGTATGCTGTAAATCGTTGCCCTTTGTGCGTGTTTTTAAACTACTCAGGTTATGAGCTTCCAATCTGATTTCCCGAATCTTCTTAATAGTTTCCTGTTTTGCTACAATTGCTGTGTCGGCAGGAACGACATAAACCAGAACATGCACTTTGTCGTTGGAAGATGGGTTTTTGTTGTAGAGTTGATCACCTTCTGAAAATTTAGATTCTAGGTTTAAACTGGAAAACAATGTCAAATACAGGTAAAGAAATACATATAATTCAAAGTATTAACACTAATTAAATTTAGTGAATAACAATAAAGTTCATACCACATAACCGTTCTTCACATGCCCCTTTAAAGCCAGTTTCACATCATCCACAAGGACCCCTTTGCTTGCATTCAGGTCCATGATGTCATTGAAGACAAAAGGATAAAAGGAGTCTGGGCTTCCTTTTTGGATCTTGTAGGTTGTGAACTGTGAAGCAAATACAGACAAAACTGCAGTTAATGTTGTTAACTGTAGTAGCCAACGTTGACACTAAGTTCTGTACATAACTGCACTCAACAAACAGAATGTACAGTGCCAAAGGGTTTATTGTCCATCAATGGTGAACTTTATATCAGTTTTTTGCTACTTAAGAAGCAGAAATAGTCTGATGTCAACTTAACCACCAGAACAGAAGTAAAATAACGAGTCTTGCAAAATTCCTTGCCTGTTTTTGTGATTTAGGAACAGTTCAGGGTTTTCAGGTTCAAAGGTTCAGTGTGCAGGATTTAGTATGGGGACGTTATTGTTGCAAAACTATTTACAAATGTGAGAGTTGTGTAAATATATATTAATCCGTCTGTGTATAATCAGATCTTGGTTGCCCTTTGTGCCTGTTTTTAAACTACTTTCCTAATTAAACATCATGTGCTTGTTATTAATGGTGTTATTAATGACTCCTGATGAAACGTAGATCTTGTAGTGTTTGACCTCCTGTTGCTGATCAGTCATGTATTGTGAAAACCACAACAACTTCAAGACTCCTGATTAGACCGAAAGTGATGTAGTGCGACCAAGGCTTTACTATACATTAATACTTTAATTATGAATTGAAGGCCTCTTTGAGGCTGATTAAGTATTCTGCCATCTTTTTCTTTTGTGTTTAAGCATATGTGTCTGACTGTTCAGACTGACGCTTGAAGTTGATGAAGTCTTCTCTGAAGTTGATAAGGTGTCTCAGGGTGCTGAGGATCAGTGAGTCAGTGTCATTATTGAGATCGATTTCTTTGTGGTAGTTCTTCACAGGGAAGATGCAGTTCATGGGAATGCCCGTGTCTACACTGAACTGCTCCATCTACGTTTAAAAAAAAAATCACATTTCAGTTCACATCTGAACCTAGAACAAAGGCTTTTAACACGTGGCTCCACCTCAGTGCAAACTCACGAAATTCCAAATAAAAACATACCATTTGCTTCAAAGCACTGGTCTTGTAAACATGCTTTAAATCATCTCTGAGTTCAGGACAGACCTTATCAATTTTGGTGAGAACAGCCACTTGAGGAATCCCTGCCAGGAGAAAACAAACTACTGAGTCTGACAGACATACAAACAGACCACAGCTGCTGTTCTCTGTGAGGATATAATTGATTGATCCATGGATGTGGAAAGGATTAAAAAATGTTTTCCTCTCACCCAGGTTATGAGCTTCCAATCTGATTTCCCGAATCTTCTTAATAGTTTCCTGTTTTGCTACAGCTGCTGTGTCGGCAGGAACGACACAAACTACAACATTCACTTTGTCATTGGAAGATGGGTTTTTGTTGTAGAATTGATCACCTTCTGACAACTTAGATTCAGATTTAAACTGGAAAACAATATTAAATACAGGTGAAGAAATAAATATAGTTCAAAGTAATAACATTAAATAAAGTAAGTGAATAATATTAAAGTTCGTACCACGTAACCGTTCTTCACATGCCCCTTTAAAGCCAGTTTCACATCACCCACAAGGACCCCTTTGCTTGCGCTCAGGCCCAAGATATCATTGAAGACAAAAGGATAAAAGGAGTCTGGGCTTCCTTTTTGGAATTTGTAGGTTGTGAACTGTGGAGCAAAAACAGACAAAACTGCAGTATATGTTGTTAACTGTCGTAGCCAACGTTGACAGTAAGTTCTGTACATAACTGCACTCAACAAACAGAATGTACAGTGCCAAAGGGTTTATTTTTCTATCAACGGTGAACTTTATATCAGTTTCTTTCTAACTAAGCAGCAGAATTTGTTTGATGTCAACTTAACCACCAGAACAGAAGTAGAATAACGACTCTTGCAAAATTCCTTGCATGTTTTTGTGATTTAGGAACAGTGCATGGTTTTTGGTTCAAAGGTTCAGTATGCAGGATTTAGTATGGGGACGTTATTGTTGCAAAACTATTTACAAATGTCAGAGATGTTTAAATATATATTAATCCGTCTGTGTATTATCAGATTTGCATGTGTACAGGAATCTGCAAATGTATAGACAAATCTGTAAATGTGCATATCAGTCATTATATGTGTGTTCATACATTTGTAAAGGTGTAGACACATCTGTATATAAATATAAAGTTCTGTAAATGTGTGAGCAAATCTCTACAGTCGACAGTTTGCACAGTTTTTATTCTTGGCTTCTTAAATAATACTTGCTGAATAGTTTTGTGGGTGTCTCGTGTATCATACAATGTCTGTCTGTGTCTTTATGATGCTGTTCTCGTGGAACCCTATGTGATTTTCTATTATGATGTTCTTCATACCTTTTGTGTGAAAGAATCACCACTGGTGTTATCCACAAAAGCCAGGTTACACATCCTTTGTTGTAAGACATTGTTAACAGAGTTGATGAAACTGGACTCCAACTGGCCCATGAAGCAGAATCCTGAGCTGCTGGCCTTCAATATGAGGTTTGTACTCCTGTACATACTTCAGGGCACTCTGTTTGTCTCTGCTCAGAGAAAATAAACTTTATATTAAAGACTTTACATTTAATCTTAATCTCTTTACAGTTTCTATTTTGTGTTTGATGCTTGGATGTCAGACAGCTGAGAAGTTTATCAGAACCAGTATTAACTGTTTCAGCAGTTTGAGCTACAGTAGCTCGTCTGTTGGATCAGACCACACAGGCCAGCCTTCACTCCCCATGTGCATCAATGAGCCTTGGTCACCCATGACCCTGTCTCCGGTTCTTTTCCTTCCTTAGACCTCTGCAGACAGGAACACCCCACAAGAGCTGCAGGTTTGGAGATGCTCTGACCCAGTCGTCCATCACAATGTTCTAACACGTCAACTCTGAGGACAAAATGTTCACTTGCTGCCTGATATATCCCCCCCACTGACAGGAGCCCTGATAACCAGATAATCAGTGTTATTCACCTGTCGGTGCTCAGAATGTTATAGCTGATAGGTGTAAGTGGCCTATTGGCTCTTAGTCATCATAAAGCACATATTAATGCTATATTCTGCATGACCATATTCAAGGAAATGTATCATTGTACAACACAAAGTTGTTTAACAAAATTAACATTTGTAGTTCCTACATGCTACACACAAAGAAAAAGACAATGAAATTCAAAGAATAATATAAAATGTAATAAAACAGAATAAAATAAAACTATATACACAGTAACGTGATAATAAGTATTGACTGGAAGTATTGTAAGGTTGTTGTACATGCATTATGCATTGCTCAGCATGGCTTTGAGAGGCAAGAATACTCATTCTCCCTTAATAACACATAATATTATGGTCAAAACACAAATTTACAACTGTTAATAGTGTCCATATCTCTAAATACAAACTCCAACTGGCCAACTTGAGTTGAAATATTTTAATTATCACAGTTTAAGGTATTTCTTACTTATTAGCAAGACTTTAGGCACTTTAGAATGGGGCACATATTTTGAGTTATAAAGATTAATAAAGAGTGAATTTGCTACTAATATACATGCTACTATGTGAAAGATGTTGAAAAGGGTTGTATTGAAGGTGCAGACATACTCACCCCCAGTTTATTTTCCTCCATGGTTTGCTGAGAACTGACAAATACATGATACATGTTTAGATTAGACAAAAGATAATGAAAACATTCAGTTATTATGAAACTATGTGTTTAAAAGCCGAACAATCTTACGTTGAGGTCTTTCACATTTGGCCTGTTGAGCTCCCATAGCTGAAGAATAAAACAGTTAAAGATTTAAAGTAAATAATATTTTAAACACACTATCACACTGAAGGCTCATAATTACTGCAGCAGTGACTTTCTGAACAACAGCAAAACAGCATTTATTTCAGTCAAAAGTTAAACTAAACCCCATATCAGTTTTATCTGATTTCTGGTAGAATTAAGGAATAAAGCCCAAAATAACCCAACAACCATAAAATAACAGTATTAATTAAATCAAATTAATTTTCAAATTTACTGATTCAGTCTTTTAATTTTAAAATACTTTTCTTCTCACTTGAGGCAGTTGTGGTTTACTGCTCCGATGGCTGGAGAGTAAGACATATATATGTTTATATAAAGTTTTGCCTTAAAGTAAATTAAATTATTATCACAGTGTTGATTCAATATGCTACAGGGAAAAGTTATTAAGGAGTATTCACTCCATTTGAGATACCAAATGTGAAAGTAAAATCAACTTTCAAAAAAATACACAAAATGCCTTTTAAAAATAAACTTAATTTCATCAGGCTTATGTCAGTTCAAGTTTACAATGATCCGATTTTAGTTAATTTATTGTGCACTACAATTAAAAACTTACAATGAGAAAAAACTGTAACAATAAGCACAATAAATATCATAAAAACTAACCTGCACTGGAGAAATGTGAGACTTTGGATTTTTGTTTCCAGTAATGAGAAAAAATTGTATTAGCATATTCAAGGATTCTTCCAGGCCTGTTTTGACTTTCACTATGATCAAATAAGTGACTTAAAATCACGTCTCCAGTCTTAGTTCCTCATTCTAATCAGAGCACTTTTTCTTGTTCTCAGGCTCAAAAATCTTTCAGAAAACCTCAGACAGCCTCAGTGAGACATAGTTTTTATTTTGCTTCATGTTTGGTCTGTAACATTTAGGAGGATCTATTGGCAGAAATTGATAATATATATCACGTAATAAATAATATTCATAAGTATGTTTTCATTAGTGTATAATAACCTGAAAATAAGAATCATTATGGTTTACTACTGGCTGTAGATGGACATTTTCAGCAGCCACTGAATAATAAATAAGAACCTTTCAAAATGTTTGCTAGTGATTCAAAGATCTGTTTGCTGTGTATCCTATTGTAACTCTCGCATTGATTGAACCGAGGCGACTGGTGCTCTCATATCTCTCATAATAATTCCATTTCATAGAGATTTAATCAATTCTTATAATTCAGGACTCAGAGTGTGAGTCAGTGTGTTGTCAGCACATAGTTGGTAGTTTGGTGTCCAGACACACACTTGTATGAGGGGTTAGATTTCAGAGAGGGTTTGTGATTTTATATTTTCAAAAAAACAACAACAACTTATTAAGGAACAGCTTCGACACAGGCATTTTATTCCTAATGCAATACAGATTCACTGGACTGATTTTAATAACTTTAATGTACTTGGAGTGAACAATGTGCACCTGTATTATCTTGGAAAATAAGATTTTCCCAGTCAACCACAATCTACAAACAATCCCATTTATCACTGCAACCAGTTCTCATATTGAGGTCGCATTATAGTTTTTATTCACCATTAAATTCAGCTGTTCTTCAAGCACGTCTATCAGAACATTATGCATTGTTACGATTCAGGAAGTCTTCTCCGGTGCTGATGATGTGTCTCAGGGCGCTCAGGATCAGTGAGTCAGCGTCACTGTTTAAGTTGATTTCTTCATGGTAGTTTTTCACAGCGAAGATGTTGTCCATCGGAATTCCACTGTTTGCACTGAACTCCTTCATCTATGTTTAAAAATCACAACATCTCAGTTAAAAAAATAGTCAAATCAATCAATATATACTGAAAATGTTTTGATAGTATTACATATGTAAGATTCTTTTTATCACGTCTTACTGCCAATGTGTGAACGGGTTGTAACATAACTTGAATAATGAGACCTTCCCAACGTTCTCTGCTGCCTGTGGACTGATTAATATGTGTTTCTATGTAGGGATGAGGGTTGGATATTCCCAGATAATCCAAAGGATGTGACGTTTATGCTCTCAAGTGCCTTCATCTCAGCTTCCCTACAGTGTCAACAGTGTGCACCTTTTACCTTTTTGAATTCTTGCAACATTCTTTGATTCTGGGGTTACCTTGGCTAACTTAATGCAACCCGCATATAGACTGGCTCAGAGGAAGTATTAAGAGTTGGGGAAAAAGAAAATGTTATTGTAAATGTGCTAGTAATTTATTTCCCAGCATTTCCCATCGGCTAAAAGTGATGCCTTAGTCTCAGACTGTGTGCGGAGTGTGAGCAACAGGACGCTGACTGCAGTTAATTTTACATCACTAGTGTCACTATTAATGGTTTTCTGAAAGTTACTTATTGAACCTTTATATCTATTTCCCTCTCTGTGCAAACTCAAGTAATGGTTAATAATAATATACCTTTTCATGTAGCTTTATGCTCCTGTAGACATTCTTTATATCTTTTTTGATTTCAGGACAGACCTTGTCAATTTTGGTGAGAATGGCCACTTGAGGGATTCCTGCCAGAAGAACAAAAAACTTTAATGTGAACTCATTACATTTGGCATTTATCCAAACTGACCACAACAGCTGTTCTCTCTGAGGATGGAAACTAATAAATAAACCTATAGCAGAGGTTTAATTTAGGTGTAATATCACTTTAAGATGTTGAAAAGAAGAAAACATGGTGATTTCTTCTCTCACCCAGTTCTTTGGCCTCTTTTCTGATGTCCAGCATTACCTCCAGAACTTGGGGCTTCATCAGAGATACTGTGTTGGCATCAATAACAGACACCAGAACATGGACTTTGTCGTTGACAGTTGGGGAAGCGTTGTAGTATTGATCGTCCTTCGATATCTTACATTCAGGATTGAACTGAAAAACAAAGTAAAATCTAGTCAACTTTTGACTTTACCAAGATTAATATACAGGAAATTACATTACTGCTTTTCTTTAAACTAAATAATGTCAGAGTTTTGAAAAGTGCAGTAATTTTTACCATGTAATCGTCTTTCACACCTCCCTTCATCAACTGCGTGACATCTTTCACGTGGATTTTTCTGTTTCTGGGGGTGCCGTTTTTTAGACCAATCATTTCATTGAGGACTAAAGGGTAAAAGACGTCTGGACTTCCTTTTTGGATCTTGTAGGTTGTGTACTGTGAACACATGGAGGAAAATGCAGTTATTACACTAATTCTGTACGATTCAACTTATATGTTCCTGCTGTTGCTTCTGCTCAGAGGTACATTAACTTCAATCCAGAAATCCAGAAGAAGCTTGCCGCAGGAGCTATGAGTGAGAATGCACAGGTGTATCCTTTGTGAAGGAGGTTCTTCAGATTGTGCCCAACGTTGTTTACTTGTGTATTTCGTCCATAGAAATAATGCAAAAAAATGTGTTTCTCTGCTTTAAATCTCTTCTAACCTGCCTCTAACGGACTGACTTCTGGTGGTCTGCGCGCAGTATTTTAGTTTGAAAATTGACCAGATTCACCCTGTTGTTCCTTCCTGCCAGTGCGATCTGCTCTGTGCGAGTGGGTTGCAGCTTCTGTCAAAGATAAACCAGTGGGGTATTCTACGGAGAGCGGAGCGGAGAGACACTTCTGGTAGCTGTGGCTGTGCCCGGTGAAATTTGGGGTTGAGGATTAGAACCATTAACACTTACTTACAGCTTTGCTACATTTTCAAGAACAAAAATCTAGATGACTTCCTACTGACTATATTACCACAATTAAATATTCTGCATACCTTTTTGGTGAAACAGCCATGATGTGCGTTTTCGGCTGCAGCCAGTATGCACATTTTCCCTTCTAGGACACTTCTAACAGAGTTGATGAAACTGGACTTTCCAGTTCCAACTAGCCCATGAAGAAGAATCCGGAGCTGCAGGCCTTCAATATGAGGTTTGTAGTCCTGAACAGACTGCAGTACCCTCTGTCTTTCTCTGAAAACATTACAACATAATAATAATAATAATAATAATAATAATAGTAACAACAACAACAACAACAACAACACACAAGGGCTGTAATTGGGATGTTCATAAAAGAGGAAAATATATTCTGTGCTTTTTCAGTTTTCTGTGAAATATGTTTAAAAATACTCACCCCCAGTTTATTTCCCTCCACGGTTTATTAAGAACTGAAGTACAAGACAAGTGTTAAAGAAATAAAGTTGACATTATTGTACAACAAGTGAATAAAAGGTAAATCTTACGTTTGGAGTTCTCTTTTCCCATTGCTGCAAAATGAAAGCAATAATCAGAGCTCATATTTAAAGAAATAATGTTGACGTTATTGTACGACATTTGAATAAAAGTGAATCAGTTTTTAAGTGATCTTACGTGATGGTGGCAGAGAAGGTTTTTATGTATAAAGAAATAATTTTGCCTTAATGTAATAATGTTTTTGCATTACATTGCAAGTTAAAAATAATAACTAAGTGTTTTTATCCCTGATTCAATATCTTGTAGCAACAGAACAGTTAAACTGTTAAAACAGTATTAACAGTAAAATAAACACATCAGCTGACCAGCGTTTATAGAGTACACTTAAAATATATATATTTTAGTCATAAAAAAAGTTTAATAATCCTATTTTCTGGTAGTTACTAATTTCACTGATCACAGTTTCAGAAGCATCAGCAAAATCAACCATAAAGCTAAAGTAACAGAAACATCTTACCTTTGATGTGCTGAGACAAAGAGCCTTAAGCTGAATGATGTGACATTGCAGTGAAAAATGCGGTTTATATCCAGACCCCCCACTCCTGGTTTTACTTTCACTTTCACATAAGTCCCCCAAGTTCCTGAAAACCACAGAACAAACTTCCACTTCCAACAGGCCAGTTCTCTCATTGAAAACTCAAACGTCATCATTACTGCAGACTGTATGATAGTTGGAACACATTTCCTCTCAGCGCAGGGTTCTTTCTGCCACTAGAGGGCCGCTCACATAAACAAATAACAAGATTTAAGTTTAATGACGTATGATTTCACCACCATTGCCCAATTAAAAAAAAAAACAACAATGAATAAAGCAGTTAAAAAAAGTAGTTAGCATAATATTAACTATAATAGTTAGCATATTCAAGGTTTCTTCCAATCCAATTTTGACTTTTACTTTGATCAAATATTTGACTTAAGATCACATCTTCAGTCTCAGTTCCTCAGTCTCATCAGATCACAGAGAACCCTTTCTTCTTCTCAGGCTCAAAAGTCTTTAATTAAACCTCAGACAGCCTCAGTGAGACAGTTTTTATTCTCCTTTATGTGTGTCATGTTTATTGTGAAAGACAGCAGCACTAATCTTAAAGGTCTGTAACATTTAGAAGGATCTATTGGCAGGAATTGATGATGTTCAATATTCTAATCATATAATATTCACAAGTATGTTTTCATTAGTGCATAATCACCTGAATATAAGAATCATTATGGTTTACTACTGGCTGTAGATGGACATTTTCAGCAGCCACTGAATAATAAATAAATAAGAGCCTTTCAATCTCTGAATTTAAAATGTTTGCTAGTGAATCAAAGATCTGTTTGCTGTGTATCGTATTGTAACTCTCACATTGATTGAACCGAGACTACTGGTGCTCTCATATTGATTCCATTTGATTGATTAAGAACATGAAAAGCTCTATTTTTATAATTCAGGACTCAGAGTGAGTCAGTGTGTTGTCAGCACATGGTTGGTAGTTTGGTGTCCAGACACACACTTGTATATTTATATTAGAAGTAACAAAAATGAATTGATAAAAATAACAAAAATATTTCAGAGAGGGTTTGTGATTTTATACTTTGTGTAAAAAACAGCAACAACAACCCATTAAGGAACAGCTTCGACACAGGTATTTTATTCACTGGACTGATTTTAATAACTTTAATGTACTTGGAGTGAGCAATGTACACCTGTATTATCTTGGGAAATATGATTTTCCCAGTCAACCACAATCTACAAACAATCCCATCTATCACTGCAACCAGTTCTCATATTGATGTCACATTATAGTTTTTATTCACCATTAAATTCAGCTGTTCTTCAAACATGTCTATCAGAACATTATGCATCGTTAGGATTCAGGAAGTCTTCTCCGGTGTTGATGTGTCTCAGGGCGCTCAGGATCAGTGAGTCAGCGTCACTGTTTAAGTCGATTTCTTCATGGTAGTTCTTCACAGCGAAGATGGAGTTTATCGGAATTCCACTGTTTGCACTGAACTCCTTCATCTATGTTTAAAAATCACAAAATCTCAGTTCAGGAATTGTAGTTAAATCAATAAATATATACTAATAAAGATTCTTTTTTATCACTTTTTACTGCCAATGTGTGAACGGGTTGTAACATAACTTAAATAATGAGACCTTCCCAACGTTCTCTGCTGCCTGTGGACTGATTAATATGTGTTTCTATGTAGGGATGAGGGTTGGATATTCCCCGATAATCCAAAGGATGTGACGTTTATGCTCCCAAGTGCCTTCATCTCGGCTTCCCTACAGTGTCAACAGTGTGCACCTTTTACATTTTTGAATTCTTGAATTGAATTCTAACTTAACGCAACCCGCATATAGACTGGCTCACGGGAAGGATTAAGAGTTGGGGAAAAAGAAAACGTTATTCTAAATGTGCTTGTAATTTATTTCCCAGCGTTTCCCATCGGCTAAAAGTGACGCTTTAGCCTTGGACTAAACTGACTGCAGTTAATTTAACATCACCGGTGTCACTATTAATGGTTTTCTGAAAGTTACTTATTGAACCTTTATATCTATTTCCCTCTCTGTGCAAACTCAAGTAATGATTAATAATAATATACCTTTTCATGTAGCATTATGCTCTTGTAGACATTCTTTATATCTTTTTGGATTTCAGGACAGGCCTCGTCAATTTTGGTGAGAATGGCCACTTGGGGGATTGCTGCCAGAAGAACAAAAACCTTTAACGTGAACTCATTACATTTGACATTTATCCAAACTGACCACAACAGCTGTTCTCTCTGAGGATGGAAACTAATAAATAAACTTACAGCAGAGGTTTCATTTGGGTGTAATTTCACTTTAAGATGTTGAAAAGAAGAAAACATGGTGATTACTGCTCTCACCCAGTTCACTGGCCTCATCTCTGATGTCCCGCATTGCATCCAGAACTTTGGGCTTCATCAGAGATACTGTGTTGGCATCAATAACAGACACGAGAACATGGACCTTGCCGTTGACAGTTGGGGATGTCAACGGCATTCCTTCAAAATCTTACATTCAAACATACATGATTACATAATGTCTTTTGTTTGTAAGAGTTAGGCTTGTGAGTAGCCACGTAAAAAATCAAACTGCCATCTCTTTTGAAATTAGAATTTTGAAATAAATGATCCATCCAAATACTGAGGGTTTTTGCATTTGTGTGTGAGCACAAAAAACTAAGAGAGGTGTGAAGATAAGGCTACTTCCCTATCCCACACTTAATTTACATCTACATCTATGCAGAGGGGCTTCAGGTGAAAGTGTCAGTCACAGTGAGACCTGAGGTGAGGCCAGGATGTGGGAATGCTTAACAAGCTGACATTGGATCAGATCAGTAGATCTATAGTTTAGGTTTTAGTTTTCACAATTAATTTAACTAAGTTTTGTTGCAATTGGTTGTGTCTCCTAATTACAGAAAGGCGAATAACCATTTAATAGAGAGATAAACACACTTAAACAGTCAGCCTCCTTTAGAAATGCATTTACTTCAATAAAGGTGCTAGTAACATGTATCATGTAACATGTAAATGACATCTTAAAAAAAGCTATCCAGTCACTTTTCCTATAACAGAAGTCTTACTGGGTAGCACAGAGTACGTACAAATTCATTCAAAATAAGATTTTAATCTAAAATCTGAATATATGGTGGACATTAAAAAAGGGTATTTAAACAAAATACTACTGTATCTCTGTATTTAAGTTTTTATTATGGGCACAACAATTCTATTTGAGTCAAAACATGCAACACCTCAGTGGACCAAATGAAACAGTGATGAAAAACATTTTTTTAAAACCAGTACTTGAACAAATTATTTAAGCTTAAGTACTTCTATAAATGCATTTAGTGATTTTCTTCATCTTCTTCATCAAAATATGTTAGTACTATTCATTCGTTCATTCATTCATTCATTCATCTTCATCCGCTTAACGGTGATTGGGTCGCAGGGATAGCAAGTCCAGCAGAGGACCCCAAACTTCCCTTTCCCTGGCCACATCGGCCAACTCTGACGGGGGATCCCGAGGCGTTCCCAGGCCAGTGTTGAGATATAATCTCTCCAATTGGTCCTCGGTCTGCCCCGTGGCCTCCTCCCAGCTGAACATGTCAGGAACACCTCCCACGGGAGGCGCCCTGGAGGCATCCTCACCAGATGCCGGAACCATCTCAGCTGGCTCCTGTCTACGCAAAGAAGAAGCGGCTCTACTCCGAGTCCCTCGTGGATGTCCGAGCTTCTCACCCTATCCCTAAGGGAGACGCCGGCCCCCCATCTGAGGAAACCCATTTCGGCCAGTTGTACCCGCGATCTCGTTCTTTCGGTCATGACCCATCTCTCATGACCATAGGTGAGGGTAGGAACAAAGATCGACCGGTAGATCGAGAGCTTCGCCTTTCGGCTCAACTCTCTTTTGGTGACAACTGTTCAATAAAGGGACCGCAATACTGCCCCTGCTGCCCCAATTCTCCGGCCAATCTCCTGCTCCATTCTACCCTCACTCGTGAACAAAATCCCAAGGTACTTGAACTCCTTCACTTGGGGTAAGGACTCACTCCCTACCCAGAGTAGAATTTACTATGTTTAATGTTATTTATTTCCTGCAGTTTGTTCTCTTATTGAGCTATTTTGACAGTATAGAGCACAGAAAGAACCAGACTGGTAGCCAACCTCTCTGAACAGAGGGCAGGCTCTGGATAGCTCAACTGAGTAAGACTTGGTCTGGAGTCAGTCTCCTTCACTCTCTGCTTCATTCTGTCTAATTCCTACTACAGGTAGAGTTAATTAGTCTGACATACAAAGCCACCGACAGAAAGCTCTGCTGCTCCAAAGAGGCATGTTATACACTATCCTGTTTTTAAATAATTTAGTTACATTTTAAGTAAGTTTACCCAACTCCAACTTTTTTTGTGGTATACTCAATTACTTATTTATGGTGTTATGCCACTACTAAGTAGATGTTTCTTGATGTGGAATTTTGTGTAACTAGTGTAGTATGCCGTTTTCAACAAAAGTTTATTTTATGGTTTGAGCTCCACTCTTTACAGTTTCAGTATCTTCCCCAACACTCCGGAGAAGATGCGTCACCAAAGGCCAGCAGTGTGTAGCACTTGTTCAACCCAGGACAGGAGAATACCAATGTCTCAGTCAGTCTAAATTAGATATAACATCTTGCCTTTGACAATTTTTTCAATACAACTAAATTGCAATTTATTTATATAGTGTCAAATTCTACCAGAGGTTATCTCAAAGAGCAGAACTACACTGTACTCCTTATGGCATTTACAGAGAGAACAATTCCCACCATGAGCTAGCAACTAAGTGAACTAACTAATAAGTTAACAACCCTGAAGCCCAATGTGAAAGGGCTTAACAACTGTCGTCAGCTACCCAGACACCCTGTCCCAAGCTGCAGACCAACAAGGAGCAAAAGAGATATGCCGCGTTCGTTTTGTCTTGTAATCGCGACTTGCAGCTCGAGAGCGACGTCACTTCCATGTTGGAAAACGAGTAACCGTGGGTTTTTGCGTTCTGTTTGGCGTTCTGTTTGGCACACAACACTATGAGCTTGGTTGCAATAGGCAGTTTGAACGTTTTGTAACGTTTATAGTGATTATCTGGTTTACGGTGCACCCACCGCGGATTTCACATGTTAATTACATATTACACGATTATATTTCACAGTTTGATATCTGAATACTCCATTCTGATTAACGTTGACGTTAACGTTAGGCTACTGCTCTGCTTTCTGCTCAAGACTCGGCATTGTTGTCATAGCAACATGGAGCGTCTCTAGCCAATTTCAGCTGCACAAGCTACAAAATAACTAATTGGGCGGTATTTAACACATAATAAGACTGTAGCGACATGCCTATAGGTAACAGTATACAGTGCTATGTGTACGACTTCTTCATTTGGTTACAACAAAGACAAAAGTGCTTAAAATAGTAGAAAACCACAATGTTTACTATGTGCGATGCTCGGAGTAGCCATCTTGGTAACTGAACTCGGGGTCCTCTGAGCTCAGACTTCAAGAGTCGTTTTATACGTCCTCGGGAGCTTTCTATTTGCAACTTCCGGTTCATAACTCAGGAAACCGACTCGGAGATCGAGGCGGGTGGACAAAACAAACTCACCAATAGTATGGAACAGATTCACACCCCTCACCCACACCAAGTCACTCACTTCTAAAAGGCAGCTAACCTGAAGACAACCTTACAAGATAGAATCTGTTAAGCACCTGGGTGCTGGTCACTTCACTACTTCAGTGTAGAGCTGATGGTTTAGGTCCACATCATAAACTCAAGACAATTTACAAATTACTTCCTAAAAACCTGTGTGTAAATGTAATTAAGTCATAGATAGTACATAGATAATAAAGAATTGACATGGTTACATGTATTCTGTGTTAACTAGGTTAGGGCTATAGTTTGACATTGTGATAAATATACTTTGATTTATATATTTGATTATTCTAAGATCAGTGCCACTCTGATATTTGTTGGCTAAATACAGATTAAAAAAAAAGGAAAAAAACCAACACAAATCAAAACCATGATTGTTCTGTGTGCTTATAACTGTGGACAGAGCCAGGTTTCCCCCGTTTCTAATATAACCCTCAGCAAATAAAGTCATGGGAAATTTAAATAATTTGTATCATACTTGATATAATGTAATTTGTAAATAAATAGAATTAATGTAGTCAGTTTCATTATCTGTTTATCAGGTTATGGGGTAATTGCTACCAAAAACACTGAGCCAGGAGAATTCCTGCTTAAGTATGTTGGAAGACACTTCAGATTCAGAAGGAGAGGATCTATTTAAAGAGTGACTCAGATGTAGATGCAGAATTTTGTAACACAGACAAACTGACAGACTAAATTGTCTGTGATTCTGATGTTCATGTCTGTGCGTATGTGACCAACAAATACAGGATGAACAGAAAAGCCCAGGGATTTCATTGTTTCACTAAGGGATGAGGAATTATTGTAAATATGCTTTGCAAACTGGCATAAATTCCTTTTTAAGCATATTTTTGAAACCAGAAATGTGTGCACTCAGACAGTTGTAAGATGAGACAGTGAGAAACTCTCAGTTTAGCCTTAGACTAAATAGGTGTCGTTCTGTACCATTCTATACAGTCCCAGTGTGGACCAACTTTATGTTTTTAGAATGCGAGGTTCCAAACAAAAGTCAAGGCCACTCCTCATTTACTCAATAATTACTACTTATTGATAGTAAGTAAAGAAGTTGTTGTACATGAATTATGATCTTAATGTGTGTCAGTACACTCAGACAGTTGAGTTTAGGACTGTGTGTGTGGGCTTTGTAGCACTTTAAATACACTTTTTCTCAATGTAATTCTGCATTATTTTGGTACTGTTTTCTAATTGTGGCTTTAGGAACATGTGTTATGAATATTATATATATTGAACGCAGAGTTAAGCTGAATTCAAAACACTACAGAAATGTAATAAAACGACAACTAAACAGGTTAAGATGAAGAAGAAGAAAAGAAGATATGTACTTAAAAGACAATTTCCCCAATAGGGGATTGGGGAAATTGTCTTCACTCTTTCTTACACACACACACACACACACACACACACACACACACACACACACACACACACTGTGGATGTGGACATGTGTTACCGGCACCAGACCTAGGGGAAATCTGGACCAGCAACAAGGGTTACACAGGCTAGGGAGCACTGTCTAGCCAATATATAAACTGTGGATTGATAGAGAGATGACGAAAGTTAGTGTCTTGCTCATGCCAGAGCTTGTTAATTTCTGAGCTGCGCATTTGCAAAGCTTGTAGCTACAGTCTCCCTAATGGATCCACAGCAGTGCTAGAGCACCACCTGCTGGTGTAACAGTGTACTACCTTGATGTAAAGACTGAAGTGTTAGAATGTCTGTTTAAACAAAAACTTAACATATGGTGTTTTCCAACCCATTACACATGCAACAGGGAGAGAGAGATGGTGGAGTGATGGGCTGCCACGTTAGCAGTGCCCCATGAGCAGTTTCTTGGGGTTAGGTTGCCTTGCTCAAGGGCACCTCAGCAGTGCACAGGAGGTGAAACTGGCACCTCTCCAGCTACTAGTCCACACTCCATATTGTGGTTTGTGGGACTTGAAACGGCGACCCTCCGGTTCCCAAGCCAAATCCCTACACACGGAGCTACTGTCTTCCCTTAAGTGCCGTTCCATACCATTCAACAGATTGTTCATTCTATACAGTCAAAGTGTGGACCAACTTTCTATTTTAGATTGTGAGGTTCCAAACAAAAGTCAACATATAAAGCTCTATTCATAGATCTGTACCATTTTTTGATGGTTCTGAGATGAGCTGCCAATAGCTCATTACCATTTCAATGCCCATTTAAAGCATTAACATACCAGTTAGACTTTACAGCTTAAGCTACATTTCAGTTGACAATACTGATTCAATTCAACTGATTTTTATTTAGTTCCAAATCATAACAGAAGTTATCTCAGGGCATTTCAAATAGAGCAGGTTTAGACCATACTCATTATAAAATGAAGGAGGAAATAAAGACTTCTAAAGTGGCCCATACTGAGTATCAGTGTGACCATAATGTAGCCTGTGTGCCTTTCACTGTATGCAAACTCTCAGTTCCTCATCCGGCACCATTTGACAACCCTCTAATATGCCTTCTATATTCACCCATAAATGTACAACTTCATGTGCCACAGATAGTAAATATTAGGGAAAAACAAATGACAGTTCAATACAGGTAAGGAATCCAGTCCAACCAAAACCATCTGGACTATAATAAGGTAAATGAAGCTACACATTTATAACTTTAATATACTTGGAGTGAGCACTGCACCTGTATTATCTTGGAAAATACTTAAGACTTTCCCAGTCGACTAGTAGTCGTTACATAAAACCAACAGTTGACTAATCGTTGCAGATTTATATTTATTCATATATTTATTCATGCAAGATATGCGATTAACATTAAGACAGAAATACATGTGAGACATGACAAGGCAACAACAATGACAGCAACTGGGGTGACAGCCAAAAATAAATAAACAGGTCAGGACAGCTGGGTTAGCCCAGCATTAATTAAATATATAATTGAACAGGAGACTGACCATTTGGTTAATTTATGTTAACACCGTGTAACATCACAGTCTGGTTGTTCAAAGCACGGAATAAATAACTTCCAACTTCACTAAAACAAACACTGGCAGACTGATCAATTAGACTACGCACCGGGTAGGGTAACTGGTGGGGAACCCACAAAAAACTAGTAAAGTTGTACATCACAAAATTCAGATAATGTTCTTCATGCACATATATCTGAACATCAAGCATTGTTAAGATTGAGGAAGTCTTCTCCGATGTCGATGTTTCTCAGTTTGCTCAGGTCAACGACGCTCTTCTTCCTCGGAGTTCTTCAAATGGAAGATCTGTTTAAAAATCACAAGATCTCAGTTCAGAAATTACAGTCAAAATCAAATACTGAAAATGTTCGACAGTATAGGTAAAGTACAGTAAAGTTTCTATATGTAAGATTCTGAAGCATTTTACATTATTCTTATGTATTAATCACTTTTTATTGTGAACGGGTTGTAGCATAACTTCAAATCTTGCTCTGCTGCCTGCGGACTGATTTATATGTGTCTCTATGTAGGGATGGAAACTAATATAATGAACCTACAGCAGAGATTTCAATTAGAGTCTAATTTCACTTTAAGATGTTGAAAAGAAACATGGTGATTACTGCTCTCACCCAGTTCATTGGCCGCTTCCCTGATGTCCCACATTGCCTCCAGAACTTCCTGTTTCAGAGACAATGTGTTGGCATCAATAACACACGAGAACATGCACTTTGTCGTTGGCAGTTGGGTTTGCGTTGGAGCATCGATCATCCTTTGATAACTTACATTCAGGACTGAACTGAAAACAAAGTCACATCTAGTCAAAGGATGACTTTACTTTTCTTTAAACTAAATAATGTCAGAGTTTAAAAAGTTCAGTAAGTTTTTACCTTGTGACCTCCCTCCACCCGACTGATTTTTTTCAGGTTGTTTTTTTTGCCACCATTTACTCTTGTCCTTATTACCTTGTGAGTTTTGTGCTGTTGAGAAAAAAACACTATTACGCTCATTCTGTCGGATTCAACTTGCATAAGTTTCCTGCTGTGACACAACAACATGTATTCAAAGTACAGAAAACTTGAGCGATGAGTGAGATTAAACAGGTGTGACTGTTAGACTTTTTGGTATATAGGACGTGGAAAACAGAAAGGGTTTGCCGATTGGGGCACAAACACACTTTCTGCTGTGATTACCTGAGACCTCGCCCAGTTTGAGTTAAGTTCTGGCTCAGTGTTAAGTGTTTAATATCTGAGTCTTGGGTGTATTCTTGCTTCGTCGCCTGTATAGATGTCACCATGACACAAGATCTATCGTGCTAGCGCTGGTTTTAAGCGCTGTCCAACAGATCTTACAAATGGACAGACTTTTGTCTAACTTTCCTTCTCATAGAATCCAAATGTCTTCCAGACTTTTGATTTTAGATTTGATGATGCTCTGTAAATCATGTTGGCGAGACCAAGTCTGAACCCATCGTGACATCACCCATCAGTTTGTGGAGAACCACTTTGAACCGTTGCCATTATAGCTTGTCACAGCCAGTGGACGTGGCGTACTTTGAGTCGGGCTCCTCTCATTGGCTTCAAAGTTTCAACTCATCCGTAGCAGGAATCAATGGCGGCTCACCTGCTCACACAGGATCTGGTATTCCAGATAAACCGTAAAATTTGTTTGTGAACAGAAGTGAGGAGAGAAATAGTCAACGCAGTAAAAGAATCTGGATCCATATCTGATCAGCACTGCCTAGTTTGACAGTTTGATCTGAGTTTGGTGCGTTGAGCTGATCTGCGAAACATATTACAAAAATACATTACAAAAATAATCATGGCCACTTTTTGAGAATAAATATTGACATACCTGCAATTAAGAAGTACCTTGGCCACATGCACTGATATTAAGGAATGCAGTGCTAGCAACAACATTACTTTATAAAAGGCTTTAATTACAGAAATTATATATTATTACAATAGTGCACCAATTTAAATTTGAACGTTTTTTCCCTTGATAACAAACATTTCCCAATCTTGGGCAGGTTTTGAATCATGCATGGACTGCCATGTTGTGGCTGTTCGGCTGTGACACAGATTACAGTCATCTAAATAAAGAAAAATAACAATAAAAGAAAGAAAGAAACAAAAAAAAACAAGCTCAGTTTGTCTGTTAATTCTCACTACATAAAAAAGTCCCCACTTGTACTGTATAGAATGACAGGAGTCCACTGTTGGCTGGTACATAATGACACAAGTTCCCACTTAGATAGCATAGAACAACATTCACACTCCAGCATGGATGAATAAGAGAAACAAAAAAATCAATAATATTTTTTGTGAAAAAATGTCAGTAAATTGTCTCTTGCAACATAATATTTTAATGTTATTTGTAACAAAACAATAAGGTTCAACAGATTTGGATTTCCTAACGAGTTTGCAGCATCAGATTTGATTAAAATGAAGGGCTATCCAGAGGGCAGGGCAGTAATAAGTAGTAGTTTGAAGTAATCTAAAAGAAAAAAAACCCCGGATAAAATCAGGAATTAAATTAGC